GCCATGTGTTTAAGTAAACTCTGTATCTCAAGTGCAGAGACGACAAGGGTCCTTCGCATCTTCCCACAGGACCACGTATAATGTCTCAATTAAGGTAACTGGTACTCAATAAATGCTGACTGTCAAATACATCATTTCCTGAAAACCTGGCAGAAAGTGCTGTAGAAAAATTTGTCTCTATCCTTCATGAGAGAACCAGCAAAAAGTATCTTAAAGTCATGTTTGATATTTCCTCGATCCTAGCTTCCTCACTTTTGACGTTTCCAGAGGACTTTTATAAAGGGATACAAAAGATCATTTAAATAAACTGATACATTAATAATCATGCTATGAATGGATCTCATAGGATTAGAGCTGTCCTACTTCATTTAGATTACTTTTAGTAGATGTGACTTTCTAATTTTCTTGATTATAGTTCCATATGGAACACATTCATCAGCTGTGGTCATCTTTCTCCCTTCATATCTAGATTAAATTGAACTCATTCGCATTCCACATCCTTTTGAAAGCCTAATGCAAGCCTTAAGAAGGAGGTAATGTGGGGATGTGTGTTTGGCGTGGGGAGGCTATGTTCTCATGTTACAGCCTACCTCCATTCTTACTTCTGCTATATGAGGCTGACAGAGGACTAGGACCTAACCTACTGAATCTCAGCCCTTTGGTGTTTCTGCAATATTCCTATGTCATGAGCATTAGTTTGGAAGTTGGGAAGACATCAGGTGACTGACAAAACTCTAAATCAGTGTACGGTTTATCTCACAGCCTGAACAAATTGTCAAGTTCTAAACAATATCTACCATATGAATAATTCAGCCCCTTTCTTGATTTCCACCAAAAACAAAAAGAAAACAAAGAAACAAAAAGGAGCATACAGAAATCCTTTTATGTATAGCAGACTTCATAAAAGTTTTTGGAATAACAGGGAGTTCACATCATAGCAACACACACACACACGTGCACCCCAAAACTGAATACTAGACATCCTTGTTCTTCAAATGTTCCTTTCTACTAAGTGGTTTCAAGCTCCCAAAAAGTTCTACAGGCCTCCTCTCTTTGTTTTCCTTCACCCACAGATTCTTACTTCTTAAACAGAGCACTTTGGCAATGTTAACCTTCATGAGAGAGCCAGCAAAAAGTATCTTAGAGTCATGTTTGCTATTTCCTTTTCTTGCATTCCCTACAATCTATTTGTGTCTTTCAGATGTCATTCAGAATGAACTCTTCTTTCCTGCTATTTTCTTGCTCCAATCCACAAATCTACCACAGCTTCTCTCTTTGTCCCCTGCACTACACTGCCTGACCAAATGCATGAAAACATATTGGCTCAGATTCCATCCCTGATTAAAAACTTGTCATCAATTCCTAATTCCCCAACCAGAGGCTTGAAAGGCCTCTCATACCTCAACCAGTTTTGTACCTTTCTAAATTAATTTCCTAACACAGACCCCAAAGCTCACATAAAACTTCACCACCACCCGTACCATCTTGCCTTTGCTCCTGATACAGTCACAGTCTGTGGCAGTCCCCTGTATCTCCTTTGTTTATTCAAATCCTGCCCATATTTGAAGGCTCCCCCTTCACGATCATATCCCCATATTGCAGATTTCAAGCCTAAACTTCTCTCTCCCTTTGTTTGTTTCCCAAATTTGACTTGAACTCATAGAAATAGGGAAGTCTCTATTTTCTGTGTAATTGTATCCTCTCCCAGCCTAAGCCACATCTGTACATCTAGGGACTATTTTAATGTATTGAACAGAATGACAGCTAAGAATTTAGGCTGGGGATGGCCCCCACTTACTAGCTGTGAGATCTCAAGCCAAGTTTCTTAATTTCTCTAGGCTTTTGCTTGTAAATGTGACAAGGGTCCCCATGAAGATCAAGTGATATAATGCATATAAAGCTCTTAATGTGGTGTCTTGGCATTTTTGCCTTAGAAGATTTTTAGTGATCAAGTAGAAAGAGCATTTGAGGTTCATTTATTCTAATACCTTCCTTTCACAAATAAGAATATTAAGTTTCAGAGAGATTAATAAATTGAAAGATCAGAGGCATCTTCTAGGAGAAGCAGTGGATGACTTTCTCAAAGTATTTGTTGGCTTGTGGCTGACAGAGGACTAGGCCCTAACCTGCTGAATCTCAACCCGTTGGTGTTTCTGCATCATTCCTATGCCATGAGCATTAGTTTGGAAGTTGGGAAGACATCAAGTGACTGACAAAACTCTAAATCAGTACTTGTACTTGGGGTATATGGAAGATTCTAAAGGATGGCTTTTAAGATGTCTTTATATCATTCTGATTACAAATTAATTTAAAAATCAATAAAGAATTAAGAGTTGTTATCTGTGATTCTAAATAATAAGAGGACACAGCTGAATCATCTTTCTCCCTTAGAAGTCAAAATGGATTTTGATATTTATCCTCTCAATGCCTTTTTACCTCCAAACCTCCATCATAAGTTCTAAAAAGTATGTGCATGTATGTGTGTGTCCATATTTGAATGAGCCCACATGTGTGTCCACATGAGCATATGTGTTAGCTTGTTGAGTAGGGAAGAGAAATCTATATCACCTGCTGGACTGGTTAGAACATTGACAGCCTGACACTTGATAACCCCAGAATTGAAGAGGCTCTGCAAAGTAGGTTGGGTGAATCCAGGCTAAATGCCAATTAGTGGAGCTTCCTGTAGCTCATCTTTTACCTGGAAGAATTGCAGAGACCCAAGAGACCATCAGGGAACCATTTCTGCTATGGCATAATCTGTAGTGGTTATGTCTCACCAGGTCAGAGCGCAGCTGCGTTTTCAGTCTACATCCAGCTGTAGTGCTCTGGACTAAGGGCCCTTAGTTCCAACTAAGATGGAACTGACTCCGAAGACCATACTCTTTAGCCACTTAACCAAACAGCCTTCAATCTTACTTTGTATGTCCCCTTAGAATCTACAACATTTTTGTTATGGACTGAATGTTTGTGTCCCCACAAAAGTCATCTTGGACCAAGCCCTCTTTCTCCACACCTACCCACTTACCCCAGCAACACACTTGCATGCACATATATAGAAACCTTAGGGATACATACTCTGCCTGTACAAACTGCATAATGTTTGCTAAAGTAGAGTCTCATTGGAAGACTGACTCACTTTCTGGGAATTCCAAAGGAGTAGAAACAAAACAAAACTTGTATCTTCTATGCTCAGATCAACAAGTAAATTATTTGGTAAACCAACTATTTACCAAATAATTTCCATGTTCCATCTCCTCCTCTAGGGATCTAACATGGACAGTATTATTTACTTCTGTCATATGAACAACCCTATGGCCAGATCCCACCATAAGATCCAGTAGAAACAAAAGAAATATTTAGCAAAAGAGTTCCAAATGAACTTCTCCAAGATCACACAGTAAGTGGCAAAACCAGAAATCAAACTAAGATGGAACTGACTCCAAAGACCATACTCTTTAGCCACTAAACTATACAGCCTTCAATCTTCCATTGTATATCCCCTTAGAATCTGTAACATTCTTGTTATGGACTGAATATTTGTGTCCCCACAAAGGTCCTATGTTGAAGCCGAAACCCCTTGGGTGGTTGTTTTTGGAGATGGGGCCTCTAAGGAAGTAATTAAGGTTAAATGAGCTAAGAAGGATGGGTCCTTGATGCAACATGATTAATGTCCTTAAAGATGAGATACCAGAGAGCCCTCTCTCTCTCTCTCTCTCTCTCTCTCTCCCCGCCTACATGCATGCACTGGGAAAAGGCCATGTGAAGACATAGTGAGAGAGCAGCTGTATGAAAGCCAGGAAGAGAATCTTCACCAGAAACCAAATCAGCTGGAAACTTGATCTTGGACTTCTAGCCTCCAGAACTATAGGGAAATAAATTTCTGTTGTTTAAGTACCCAGTCTGTAACAATTTGTTTCAGTGGCCTAAGTAGACCAACATACTTCTGATACCAAAAACTCCCCAGCTCTGGACCTTACATGACTTGTATGTCCTGAGTTATTCTTGGGTACCACAGGGTATATGTCATGAGGAAAACAAATGTGTGTAGCTTGAAAAGTATAGGAAACAAAAGACCGTCACCCATTTTAATACATAATCATATGCAGAACTCAGCATATTCAAAGAGACAAATATAATGTTTTCCTGTCAAGCTCGACCTGTATCATCCACCAGCCCAACTCCCAGCTGAAACTTCAAAACGGGAAGGAAAGGCAGGCAAATCATGACAAAATATTATGTTATTTCATATTCCAAACAGTTATTAAAAACAGTGATGGAGGAATGATTCATAACTTGGAGAAAAGTAAGCAAATATCAGAGCAGCAGCATCTTTTTTCTTCAAGTATTCTCGATTTCTAGTTTTTTACATAGTAGATAACTGGATCTACAAGGACATATTTTTAGCTACACAGCATGGTGTGGAGTTGAACCAGAGCCCAGAGCCCTGCGACAGGGCTGCAGGCTCTCTCTCTCTCTGGAACTTTGGAGCCTTGGGGAGCCCAGAACTCATGCAGAGATCCTGAGCAGCACTTTCATAGCTGCTCTGATGGCCAGAGCAGGCAGACAAGATGAGGTCAGACTCCTCGGAAAGCCTTTCAGAATGGCCTCTATTTCGGTAAAAATATTTGAAGGGCATATACCGTAATTAGTCATTCTTGTCGAAAGATTGCCTGAGGTCTGCTGGTGTGAGCCATGGTACAGCCTATTCCATGGATAGTGGGCACAAAATTATCCACCACAATGTCCCCAATGCCTAATTGCCAGTGAAAACCCAGGAGATCATCCTTTCCTGCATCAGTAACACGAAACCAATAAGACAGATGCAGACAAGAAATCTGCACTTGCCTAGAAAACTCTTCTCAACAGTGAAGAACATGACAGTCTGAAATCAGGATCTCACTGAAATGTTTCATCAGGCAGACCTAGTTTTGCTATAAAGAAGCTACCTCCCAGATGTATCTGAAACTTGCCTATTTCTCCCCCTTATTTCATGTATCAAGAAACTTGCTGGCTAGCCATAATACAGTCATCACTGTAATGCAGAATGGCTCTTGCTCAAAGGCTTCCTCCTGAAACGTATACACTGAACAGTCGGTCACAGGCTTATAGGATGACAAGATGAGGAGTGACAGACAATCATGGAGTTCAACCCTGTCATCGTAGAGGTGAGAAAACCGAAGCTCAGAGAGTTCAGATAACCTACAAAGGTCACAGGTGAGTGAGTGCATTCTGTTTCGCCAAGAATTTCTTTTTCTCATACAAACCCCATCTCTGCCTGCCTCCTCCCTCTCCTCTGGCCCTCGCCCATGTTTCACCATGGCCCCACTTGCAGACTATGAGGGAGGTGACATAACTCAGGCAGCTATCTTCCTGCGAGCAGATTCTTCCCGGAAAACTGGCACTTGGTGCCTTGGCAGAGAACGTGCTGAAGCAGGAGCAGAGAAGTGGTCACCATCTGGAGAGCATGAAGCCCGGTGCCAAATGGGCCCCAGCCCTGGGGAAGGAGGGGAAAGGGAGGGTGTCCTCCGACTGCACACATTTATTTTCACTTTGAGGGGATTTGTTAGTAACCATGCTTTTGGAATGAAAGCTGTTGTAGGTGGTTCTGATGGCTGACAAATGTGTAGGCAAGGATGAAACAAGGTGAGTGGTAGCCAGGCAATTTGCAAATGATTTGTGAGCCAGAAATAGTCAGCGGTATCTGATTACTATGTACAACTGAAGGATGCATTTCCGAAGGGAAACACTTTGTGCATGCTTCCCCCACCTATACTCTCCTTTCCCTTTTTAAAGAGTAGCAAGCACAAGGATTTCCCTGACAGTACCTAGAAAAAAAACTTATATTGAACACTGACATCTCTTCTTGCTAAATTTTAATCATACTAACATTTGTCTGTGCTACAGCTGTGTCCCACCTATGAAAGCCATACTTATCTACACAGTGGTTTTCAGTGGTCTATTACACCATAAAAGTTGCTACGGAGTTTCTCTTCTTAGCAGTCCTTGTTTCCCAGGCACATACCTCCTTTGGCATAGTTTTCAAGGAAATGTGCATCTTCCTTATTACTATCCATGCTTGTTATGATGTTGACTCTAATGAACTTCACCACATGGGTGGCATGGGTGTTTTAAGGTATCGTCCCCACTTTAGGACTTGTTGAATTTTCAGTACATATTCACAATACACCATCTCCATTGAATGGCATTTTGCAAAGCACATTCACATACACGGTACCATTTTAATTTTGACAGTGATAATATGATGTTGGCAGTTATTCCCACCTAGAGGTACTAAAAGACTTATCAAACAGAACTCCGCCCCTGAGAAGTACTGGGGCATGTGGAGCGAGCTCTCACTCTGAAATCAGAGCCAGGTTTGGATCTCAAACCTCCTGTGGCTCAGGGCAAATGAGTGAACATTTCCAAGCTCCAGTGGTAGCAATCCCTGCCTCTAACACGCATGTGCATTCAAATACAGTAACAATGGGAAGCTCTGTGCCACAGTATGGGGGCACCTGGCCGTGTCTTTTTCCCTTCTCAACCAAATTCAGGCCTTACATTTTTTTATTACACAAGGATGCCTTCCTTTCCTAATTTTTTATCCTCTTTATAACAGTGAGAAACACTCTGAGATATCTGTATGAGAATAGGAGAATGAAACCTTTGGCCATGGAAAACAGCCCTGAGACACAATAGAGATAAGGAAAAAAATACTGTATGTTTCAATACTGAGCTAACCAGCCCAATAAACAGTATTATTAACAGCCTTTAACATATTAAAATTTTTATCTCCCGAACTTAATATGGTTACTTTCTTTTAAATTTTTTTTTTAAAGAGTTTTTGGTTTTACATCATAAGTAAACAGAACTTAATATTTCTTCTGTTTCGCAGTGCTTTAAATTCATTTTAGTAAAAAGCACTCTACTCATAACCAAAATGCTGAAGTCTAATAAACTTCTTCTGAAAAGGTTTTTATTTTATTTGTTGTTGCAGTAATACGAAATCTGATGACCAAGCCCCAAAAAAGAAAAAAATGTACCTGGTACAGCCAATCCATTCAAAGTCTGCTCAAGCTGGAATCATGGCCTCAGGCAAAATCCTCAGTCCTTTCAGTTCATCAGGATTCAAACCTCTATGAAATAAAATTTGATGCCTTTAGTAGTTAATTTTTCAGTTAAGAAGTCACTGCATCCCTGCTAATAGGCACCCATTTGTGTCTTTCTTTAAATACAATCAAGGCTGGATACCACATTTCATTACTCTTCAGCAGAGGAAGTACGGCTCGAGCCCTGGAGGAAGAAAGGTCTCCTCCTCACTAGGGGAGCTTGCTCTTCGTATTTTCTCCACATGGAGGGCACTGCCCTAATGTGACTCTGCCCTCTCTTCTCCCCTTCACGCCTTCCTTTCAAAGAAAGGGATAACTCAATGCTATTAGTCCTGAAGGGAAAATTTGGAAAGCACAGTCCAGCCCTACTCCTCCCACCTTCTCTTCAAGAAATGACAGTGCCCAGTAGCCTGTAACCTGGCAATCCAAGACAACAGGCCATAGGAAGTTTTCCATTATCATTACTCTTCAGCAGAGGAAGTACGGCTCGAGCCCTGGAGGAAGAAAGGTCTCCTCCTCACTAGGGGAGCTTGCTCTTCGTATTTTCTCCACATGGAGGGCACTGCCCTAATGTGACTCTGCCCTCTCTTCTCCCCTTCACGCCTTCCTTTCAAAGAAAGGGATAACTCAATGCTATTAGTCCTGAAGGGAAAATTTGGAAAGCACAGTCCAGCCCTACTCCTCCCACCTTCTCTTCAAGAAATGACAGTGCCCAGTAGCCTGTAACCTGGCAATCCAAGACAACAGGCCATAGGAAGTTGTTCCATTAAATTCAAAAACCATGTGATGTATCTTGATAGAATAACCAAAAGCTGGCATCTACTATGTGGCTGCAACTTTTTAAACAAAGGCTACAAGATCTTCATGGCTGTAATAGAGTTGATATCTAACTTTTGAATGGAATGGATAGAAATACTCAATATTTAATATCTTTTCATATATACATATTTCACTGAATAAAGCCTAGTACTCCAACTCAAAAACATAAAATCCTGTAAGGAATGCAGCCACTAAAAGTATAAATTAAAAAATATTGAATTTTTAAAGCATATTCACAATCTAATCCAGCTGCCATATCAAACCTAATTATAATATAACAATTTATATTACTTATATTTTACAGAAATGTAATTAATCCATATTATATAAGATTAGATTTGATATGTATATAAGCATATAAGTATATATATAGAGAAAGAGAAAGGTGAAATTCTGTCTATTGGATTTGAATTTCCATGAATTATGAAGAAATAGTTTTTTTCCAGTTCTAAATGTCCAGGTATGTTAAGTATAGGATGAGAGAATTCAAATTATCAACTATAAGAAATATGGTTCATCAGTCATCATTTAGAAATTTTTGAATATATATAATAGGATAAACTTCCAAACAAATATTTACAAATCTGAGGAACTGAGTCACTTTAGAAATCATTTCAGTCTCCTCACGCATAATAATTCCCAAGCACCCTAGGCACTTGGGTATTAGAAAGTACCATTTTAAGCCCAGCATATTAGGCAATGAAAGAATAGGCCGGAAATGCTCAGGCAATAGCTTTTTTCACAGGTGACAGGTAGGTATTTCCCTCCACAGCCCTGCAAAGTCATCCCAGATGCAGGATGAGCCACTGCAGGACTGACAAGCTCAGAGGCCGCTGGGGTCCGCCCAGCCTGCTCTCCTCCAGCACCATCCCTACCGTCTCATCCCTTACCTTAAGGCAATGCTTAAAGCTTCATTTACCCAATTTCCCTTCAGAATTCCAATTCAGGGCTCCATTTACTTTGACAGCTTTTTTCCTCCATTTATACCAAAAAAGTGCAGCTTTACATCAGTCAAAATATTCTTTCCTCTATTTGGGGAATATGTGCAACTATGAGCATATCATATGAGTAAACAACACAGTAAAGGACTCATTAGCATATACCTGAACACATTTTTGCAAAGAAATTGATGGAGGAAAATGTCATTAATTCACACCTTATTTCATCAGAAATTGTGAAGGGTTTGTATCCTAACATACATATACGTTTATGCTATCTACATACACACCTTAAAGTATATCGATGGGTTCAATAGGAATGTTTACATCCAGAATTGAGGAAAGCAGGTGCTTTAAGTTTCATTAAGAGACTACAAAATTCTGTCTACTTTTACTTGATGGATACTTTAAGTTGTTGTAATCCATGTATTATATGATGTCTACTATATGTGTTCATAAATATATTGGTATAGTTAGGTTATATTTTTTATGAATCTTATTTCAAATTTTAAAAGCAGTCATTACAAAATATTTTCTATGAAATGGGGCATGAGGATTGATCAAACTGAAAGTCACTACCCTACAGGGCTGGACTCCACAACCAGCCACCTTCATTTTCCACCAGTCTTCTCCTGGCTCAATCCATACCTTCTGCCCTCCCTGCTGCTTCTCAGACACACCATGCCTGCTTCTGCTGCAGGATATTGGCACTTATGATTCCCTTGCCTGGAACACATTTTCAAAGTTATGCACCTGGTTCACCTTCATTTGGGTCTCTGCTCAAAGGTTATCTTATCAGAAAGGATACTGATGACAATCCTTATAAAACAATTCTTTCCACTGACTCACACAGCACTGAGTATCCTCACACCATGGTCCCTTACTGTACCTGTTATAGACAGAATTTTTGAGTTCCCACACATTCATATGTTGAAGCCATAACTCCCAGGGTGGCTGCATTGGGAGATGTGGCCTTTATGGAAGTAAATACAATTAAACGGGGTACTAAGATTGGAACCTTGCTCTGATAGGATTAGTGTCCTTATAAGAAAAGAGAGAGCCCCCTCTCTCTCTGTGCATTCACTAAAGAGAGGCCACATGAACACACAGTGACACGGTGGCCATCCACAAGCCAAAAGAAGAGGTCTGAATGACACCTACCTTGCTAGCATCTTGCTCTTGGATTCTCAGGCTTCAGACCTGTGAGAAATAAAGTTTAAGCCACCTGTTTAAGCCACCCAGTCTGTGGCATTCTGTTATAGTAGCCTGAGCAGATGACTACATTATTTTACCTTCACAAGTACAATGAAGAAAAATATGTCTTAAACTATACTAACAAAATATACCTTTATTACACTTATCATGACCTGTCATTCCATTACTGCCCATCTAAAAGGCAGGAACACAAGAAGAACACAATATTTGTCTTGTGCCTTGTTGACTCCATAGCACTGTTGATTACTTGTTGGGCAAATGAATGTTAAAGAATGAATTTTAAAGCAATATGAAATCCACTTTCTGTGATTTGACTATCCCTCCTTCTAGTTTGAAATGGCAAGATTTCCCAAAGCAAAACCCAGAAAAATGCAATTTATGCATTTTCTGGTTTGTGGTCATGAGACACAGTAAGAATATGAAACTTATTTCTCTAGTGTCCAAACAGAGCATACCATCACCATCTATGATGTTGAGGTGAGGAAGAAACAAGGAAGAAAAGAGCAAAAAGAAAGCATGAACATATCATGAGCAAAGAGGGAAGCCATTCCAATCTAAAATTATTTCAATAGTGTATAATATGCTAGATAGCATGGGAAACAAGAAGACAAAAATACACCATTTCTTGCTATTTTGGAGGGAAGAACAGTTACATTTGCTCTCGTAGTCAAATGTGTTCTCCTCGTATTACATGGATGCATAATAACTAGCTAGAAACTGTGGGCTGACAGTTCTATTGATAGAATTGAGCACCACACTGCAGTCTGTCAAGTTTTACATTTACATCTTAGACTTTAATCTGTTTCTCTTTCCTTCATAAAATCAATTTGGTAGCAATTAGATAACCAGCCTTCAAGGCATTTTAATATCCCAAGCATTCATCTGTATATAGCCCAGAAAGGGAAAGGTAATTAGAAGTGACCTACTATAGCTGATGCAGGGAGACATGTTAGACAACTCAGTGCTTCATCCTTGCTTTAAGGAGGTACCACTAAATTTTTGTCCTTGATTCGGTCCTTCTCGGTGACATGCTGTTAAGCCCTCTTATTTAATTCCTGGAGGACACAAATTCTAAAATGGTTGTCATTATCTGGGCTTTTGTTTCATTTTCTATGAATTTAAGGCATCACTGAAATAGACTCTGTTTTTTAGCTGTGGGATAATATCGTCACATGCACACAGTATTGGATGAAGTAGACTTTGAAAGATATTGAAAGGCTCAAGGAAAATGTCTTTCCAGATTCTCTCCATTTGAGTGCTTTGAGCTGCAGGTGAAGAATTTCTTGTCTAAGTGATTTAAGAAAAAAAAAAACAATGAATTATCACAAGATCCAGAAAATTTTATTGGTCTTCCTCTTTGAAAATTTAGTTTAGTATTTCAGATCTATAGCATATATATTTGAGGCAGTTGTGGCAGGGTACAAAAAGCATGAAATAGAGACAAATACCGTATGATTTCACTTACACGTAGAACCCAAAAAACAAAATGAAGAAAAAATTAAATAGATGCATAAACACTGACAACAGACTATTGGATACCATAGGAGAGTGGGGTTAGGGGATGGGTTAAAGAGGTACAAACTTAAAACTATAAAATAAATTAATCATAGGAATGGAAGTACAGAATAGAGAATTTAACCAATAATATCTCAATATGTTGGCAAGGTAGCAGGAAGTAGCTATACTTATTATGGTGAGCATTTAGTAATGTGTATGATCATCAAGTCACTATGTTATACATTTGAAACTAATATTGTATATCAACAATATTATAATAAATAAAATTTTAAATAAATAAAAATTTAAATATTAAAGGCATGGACTATAGCTTCCAAAGACCCAAATCCAGTTTCTAACTCTGCTTCTTATTAGCTACTACTAGTATTAAATCCCTGAGTCTAGATTTCTTCAAACACCATTCTTTGATTATAAGATGCATATTTTTCCCATTTTAGCAATTGAAATTGAGATGCATCTTACAATGCACAGTTGCTTTCAATAATCCACATTAGTGTTTGAGATCAACCATCTGCTTGGGCTACAATGGACTCCAGAAATAATAGAGTTGAGAGGTGAGTTCTTGATCATAACCCTGTCACTACCTTCTCAAACCATCTGGCTACATTCACACAGTTCCTTTGTTCCAACCCCTCAGCTGAACCCAAGTTTGGAAGACTCTGGAATCAAGAATTTAATGTGGGACAAGCATGGCATAGGACAGGATGTCCTTGATCTATTACTGAAGTTCTATTTCCTATCAATAGATAACAGATACATAGGTAATATATAGGTAATAAATAGGTAATAGATAAATAGGTTAACAGTTCATTACCTGTTGCTTTGATAATGCACCTATTACACACACTTCAAGTTAAGTCACATAGAGAATAATTAGTGAACTAATCTGGGGCTAAGGGAGAGACTC